CCCCCGGCCTGCCCAGCCGTCGCTTCTGTGGAGCGAGAGGACCCAAATCTCCATGTGAGCCCCCCCGACAGGCCCAGCTGTCTGTATGGGGCACTGTCTTATGCAGGATAAAAGGCTGTTGAGGGGCTTGTGTGGAGTGGGGAGCATCTGCGGCATGCTTCCCTGAAGGCACATAGGATGCTAGCCAAAGCAAGCCTTTGGTACAGAGCAGTCATGCACACCACGATTCAAAACTCATGCTCCGTGAAAATGATCGCGTAGGACCCTCACGCGCAAAGTCCCATGGGCCGAGGCCCAAGGCGGGTGCTGCAGTGACTGTCCCATGCAGGTGATACTGTCCCAGTTTGACGGAGGCCCTCAGCCCAGGGTCTGTGTGGTTGTTCCTCATAGCCACCCTCTCTCCCGGTGCTGGTGCTCCCTGGGGATGCCGGCATCTTGCTGTGGGGTTCAGGCTGCCCTGCTACACTCTGCACTACTCTGAAAACCTCCCTGACCGGATCCACGGTGGCAGCCACCACCCAGGAGGGACTCCTGGAGAACCGGGCAGGGGTGGTGGAAGGAGACAGACGGGGGGCTCTTGGGCTCCCAGAGGCGAGTACAGATGCCCACAAGGTGTGGATAGGTTGGATTGAGGTTTTGGTGGCAAACAGCTCATGTGAGTCAAATAGCCTGGTTTCCTACCATCTTGTGCCCTGCTGCAGCCCTGCCTGCACGGCTGGCCATGAACATGTCGGGGCCCTGAAGGTACAAACAGCCTTTAACAGCCCAGACCTGCCTCAGCTGGGGCTTCCACCCACACCCTTGCCCACATCCCTTTTAAGGGCCTTCAGCTGCTACCTATGCATTGCTGTGGGTGAGATGGTTTCTGACTCTGTCTCCTGGATGGACCTCGGACCTCTGCTGTAGGCAGCTCAGCTCCTGGACAGACCCCTCAGATGGATGTTGCACCTTATCTCTAGCCCAGAATGGACTTTAGATCTGTGTTGTAGCCATGTATCTGGCCCTGTCTCCTTTTCTTTCCTGGATGGACCCTGGAGCTGGTTCTTCACTTCATGTGTCTGGGAGTGCTGATGGACTCTGTTATCTGCTCCTTCGTGTTCAGACCCCAGGGGACTGTGCTTGTTTATGAGGATGCTGCCAGCTCTGGGGTCCCGCTCAGCTCTTAGCTGCCCTGCCCTGGAGCCAGCCTCAGCAGTACCCTGGCAGAGGGTGTGGGAGCAATGCTTGCCTGTGACCCTGGAGGAGACATACAGGGAAGGAGCACTTACAAACTCTGGGAAAACAGTACAATGAAGGTATTCTGCGAAGTGGCGGTACTGCTGGGCAGGTCCCTCGTCGATCTGCAGCTCGCACTTGTGTGGGGTGGGCAACAGGCTGAAAGGGAGAAGGCTGTCAGACCTGATGTGCAGAAGCTGCCCAACGCTAGCTAACCCATCTGTAACCCACCCCTGTGTTCCCAAATACACACAAATATTCCTGCCTGGGTGCTCTGTGGTAGCAGCCCACTGGGACTGATGCTCTGGACTATCCTTGTCAGCAGGCCAGGGAGCTCACTTAGGTGTTAACAAACCTCTCCCCCTGAGCAGGTGTTATGCACCAGCTTGCAAAAGCACCCCTACCCCAGCAAAGTGGCCAGGGCTGCCCTGGGGCCCCAGGCAGCCTGCCCCAGCTTGATATTGTCTGGTGCTTTGGCGCTTAGGTTTGGTGCTCCAGTAGTTCCTTGGAGCTTCTCACATCTGTGTACAAAAGTCTTCCCTCGCCTCTGTGTGGAGTGTGAGACCGGTGGGAAAGGAAAACAGGGAGAGATCGTTCAGGTGAGACCCTCTTCTGCTTTGAGAGGCTTTTGGTCTAATCTTAACTCTGTGGGCAGCATCCTCCCTCCTGCCTGGAGACAGGCTTTGATCCACAACCTCTAGCCCCAGAGAGGGGCACGCTGAGCTTCCAGAGCCCTAGCCTGCTGTTGGTGCTGAGGGAAGCCTGGCCTCTGGCTCCTTCTGGGCTTGGCCTCCCTGTCCCTTGGAGCACTGCTCCTGCAGTCAGTTCTGGAGCAGCAGGAGCAGTTCTGTTTGATTCTCATCAGCCATGGCTGCCACGGGCCTCTCCGAGTGCCCTGATCTACGTTGTGAATCCTGGGGCTTTGCCTGTGGTCATGTTTAGGAGACCTTTCCTTTGTAGTCCTCCTTGCCATGGGAGGGACTGGAGATGGAAATGTAAAAGGGAAAATGAAGGGACCCTTTGAGCAGAAGGCAGCAGCTCTGAGATGTGTCATTTTCCTCAACCCTGTGGGAGTTTTTACACAAGCAGAGGTGGCTGTGATGATCTTGTATGCACTGAGATTTGCCTCTCTGTGTGGTGGGGGCACTGGTACAGAGAGATGCACAGGAGGGAACTGCCAGCCAGCACGAAGAGAGGCCAGGCTGTCTCTGCCCTAGGAGAACATGCCTTCATGAGCTCCTCAGGATGTCTTTGAGAAGCTTTCAGAGGGGAAGAGATGGGGCATGCATGCAGCCCCACCTTCCCCCACCAGCAGCTCCTCTGAAGCTGCATCCAAGCCCCAGCAGACTTTTAACAGCTTGTTGTCTAGGCTGCCCGGCGTATTTGCAGACACTTGATACCCTGGCTGAAGCCAAGAAGCCAACTTGCAGAGATGCAGCTCACGGAGCCACAGTGCCAGGCAGGTCCTCACGAGCACCTGATGTCCCAAGGAACGGTCATATCCTGTCCCCCTAGCCAATGCCACATCTCAGTGATTGCCATTGTCATGTTTTCTGTTCTAATCTGATTTCAGCCACTCTTGACACTACAGGGAGTCTTTCTGACCCGTTTTCCTCCTGCTCAATCCTATATGGGGAGCCCTTGTCACTGTTTTCCTGACAAGGTTCTTCCAGTCCTTGAATTGCTGCTTTCTGAACCCTCTGTCATTTTCTGAGACTTCACTGATAATACAGTGACTGGAGATTTCAAGTTTTGCCATTGCTCATACTTTCATTTCCCTCAGATGCCCCAAGGGATTTCCATGAGAAGATCACAGCAGCTACTCAGCTGGGTCATCTCAGAAGGGAAGTTTGTCTCTCTGATTCGGGAACAATTCTGTCTTGTAACTGTTATGCAAGAATTCCCAGGCTGCACAACACTTCACCTTCTCAGCTATTTAATGCCTTGAAATAATGATCATTTTAAGGACCAATCTATCTCAAATGACACCCAGCTCAGACTGTGTCAACAAAGGCCTGACTTTGTTTTAAGCTCTGCTGGACCTGAGCGATTCCTGCATGTTGTGAAAGCCCCTGGCTTGCATTTTTAGCGGAGATGAAAGTCGCTGAACATCCCCAACTGACATTGATTTCCACAGGGCTTGAAAGCATTCTGCAACCCCAGGAAACAGGTCCTGAGGCCTGGATGTGGCCAACCTGCTGCAAGTTATCAGGGTTTTACCTCTAAGTGGCCCAGGTAGGATGCCACGTTCTCCTTCAGCGCAGCCACGCTAGATACCACGCACTGGAACTTCTCCTCCAGGTTGTCGTACTCCCTGTCCTCCGTCTGCAAGGTAAGGGGCAGCTTATCCCCGGCACGGGCAGACCAGGCAATGCCTTGGGCAGGGGTGATGCCCCTCACTGGGTGCTAACATAAAAAGCAGCCAGGCACCCCCAGTTCTGGGGACAGGCAGGGAAGACCCTGAGAGGCTCCAGGAATCTGGAAAGGGGCAAGATCTGGGGTGCCTGGGATGCGTGCAGAAACAGGGCTTTCAGCATCATTGTGGTGCTAGGGAATGCTGGGGTGTCCTTACTTTTGCTGGGGTACCTGAGGGTCCTTTGGGGGCCACAGCACTCCCCTGCAGTGCTCTGAGGCAGGGAGCATGGTGTGTACCCGCACCCCTCTTACCGCACTGGCCACTGGGACTGGGGACCAGGAGCCGCCCTTGGGCTGCTTGGGAACGGGACCATGGCTCATGAGACAGCATGGAACACACTGCGTCAGCTCTGCTCTCCCCATCCCCTGGCAAGTGTCTCAGGAGGCAGTGGAGAGCCCCAGAAACCACCCTGGGAGTGGATCCACAGGTGGTGGGGTGCGGGCTGCCCACCTTGGCCACAATGCCGGCTTCGTGCATGAAGAGCCGGCTCAGCCGTGAGGTCTTCTTGGCGATGGAGTGAGTGTTGAGGCGTGCGAAGCGGTCCCGCAGTGTCAGGTGCTCAGACTTATTGTATTTGGTTGCTGCCTCGGGTCAGGGTGCACCAGGTGGGAGGAAAAAAAATCAGAGGAGGAAACTTCAGGGCAATATCCTCAGCAGCCTGAGTGGGTAATGGAGCGAGGCCCCCAGCTGACAAGTCGTGATCAACAGGATAAGCACAACCCACATGAAAGAAGGGCAGTCAAGGGAGGGGGGGGAGTACTAAGAAAAAACAAAAAGAAGAGCAAGCTCCTGTTTGTGGGGGGCCTGGTTTCTCCTATCCCAAGGGTAGGACTGATCCTCTCTGTTCCCCAGCTCCAGGAATGCAGACGGACTGGTTTTGTACTCAGCCCTCCCATGCCACCCTGCTCCTACAGCCTTCAGGTCTTGCCTAGAGTGGCATTTGCAGGACCAGAGCAGTGCCGGGAGCTGCCCGCACAGGTCTGCGGCTCCACCAGGCAGGACGGGTAGAGGGCAGGAGAGCTTTGAACTGATTTAAGTGGGAATTAGCGCAACACCAAGGGGAGATGACTGGGGTTGGGATGGGACTTCACAGACGCCGTGCCCCCTGCCCACCCACCTACTTCTCTGCGCCGTTTGTACTCATTGATGTTGGCGTTGACCTGGGCCATGGCGTGGACAGCTGCCTGCAGGGCTGGGTAGGCGCTGGCACTGGCAGGGGTTTTCTCCAGGATCTTCCCCAGCAGCAGCGGGTATTTGGTGACCCTCTGCACTGGCATCACCAGGAAGAAGCTGAGGTCTGATGCGCCCGTGTGAGGCCTGTCAGAGAGGAGAGTTGTTCAAGGTCACCGTGGGGGGCTACCCTCCTACCCTGCTGCTCCTCCCAGCTTCTCTGCAAGCATTCTGGGGAGAAAGCAGCCCCTCTCCAGCTGCAGGGGAGCTTTGCTGCCTCAGACCCCCAGGGTAGCTGTGCCCAGTAGCCTTGAGGGGCTTCTGGCTGTGAACCCCTGCGTCCCACCAGCTGCGACGCCTCCCCTTGGGGAGCGCAGGCAGAGGGACGCTGTCTCTGCCAGCCCCGAGGCTCTGCCAGCCCCGGAGGCAGTGCCAGCCCCGGGCAGGCGCCTGTCTCCCCGAACAGTGCTGCGCTTGTCTAGCTAGGAAGCACAGGATCGGCACTTGCTCGGGGGTAATGGGGAGGCAGGGTGCAGGCAGGGCTCCCCTTCTCCCCGCGTGCAAGCCATTGCTCGTTAGGGAATCGCATTGCCTGTGCCATGAAACAGAGAGCAGCAAATCCCAGCAGCTCCTCTGCTGCCACTCCTGCTTCTCCTGGCTCCAACCGCATTTGTGACCCCCCAACA